GTGTCGTTCGTCGTTCTGTGGGTGCGTGTCTGTGTGTGTGTGTTGTTCTCTCTCTCTGTGTGCGTGCGTGCGTGCGTGCGTGCTTCCATCCGTCCGTGTGTGTGTGAGTGTGTGTGTGTGCGTGCGTGCGTGCGTGCGTGCATGTGTGTGTGTGTGTGTGTGTGTGTGTGTGGAGAAAATGTCACAACAGACAGATCACCTTTTTGGACTGAGGTAAGTAATTCATAAAAAACATCTTTTAAAAAGTAACAGAGGTCAAAAACACTCAAACCCGTTTATGACTTTGCAAATGTCAGTTGATCCGCCTGTTCATTTGTCTGTGATATGCCTTTATCTTTCCCATTGTCTTGATGTTGATTTGTGATGCCTGGAGCAACAACAACAAAAAGACTAAACATATTCATGTGAAATGAAAATAAAGTAAACATAAATTTAAACTTGGTAATTGAATGGTCTTTCTTTTGCCCTTCCAAATGTAATGTCTGGCCTGTAGCTCTCTCTGGTGGCGCTATACTAAAATTACACATTCAGATCACTGCAAACTTCAATAGACTGACTCTACTGACTAATCAACAATACAATCATAGTTATCAGGTGCAGTCTTCATTGTTCAAACTGTATTAAGTTATCATGCAGGTATAACGTGGTTAACAGAGCTATGGCTCTGCGTGGTAGTCTAGGATACAGTCTGAACACAGTTGATGTTAAAATAGACTGACTGGTACGCAGGTAAACATGGAGCACTAATTAAATTCCCATATTAGGAATGAATTTAGGTCTGTGTATTAAGTTATTTTAGTCTTTGAGTAAAGAAAATACTTGCTAAATGTGTGTCTGCTTATTCAAAAACATGTGTAGGTTATTATTATAGGCAACACAGCAAATGGGTATCACTTTGACTTTGAATTATTGTTCAGATGTGAATATTGACATATGCATTAATGTTGAATAGCCATAGACTAATGAATTTTGCATCACTTCGAGATTAGAGAGTACCTTCGACATATCGTCGCAAAGCCAGTGCAATCACAGTGCTGCACATGTGCAGTGTTAAACAAGTTCCTTTTCTGTCCACGAAATGTAGGCTACAGCCAGCTGGATAGGTTTGAGAGCAGCCGATTTAGGGTCGTCAGTAGGTAGTTACCACAGCCACAAGGTCATAATTATGGCTATACCTCGCCTATTTCTACAATTTATCTTCTTAAAATCTGATTTTAAACCTAACCTTAAATGAAGACCAAAAAGCACCTATTTTTTTCATGAATTTTTACGATAGGCCTATAGCCAATTTGACTTTGTAGATGTGGTAACAAGTGACAACTCCGATTTAGCGGCATTCTTGTTGTACATTTTTAAATGATTACTCTTTCAAATAACTGGTAGGCATACTTTGCTGACTCATATAACAACAATTGGACCCTTAACGAGCACATACGAAGAAAAACTATGAGTTTGAAAGATAATGAATCATAATTGTTTGTTTTCATTTACATTTACATTTTAGTCATTTAGCAGACGCTCTTATCCAGAAACATATACTGTTTCAGCCTAAACAGCTTAATATTGCTCCACTTTACAGATAGCCGGTGGATTTATTTGAATGGGCGCTTTTCATGGTGCTGAATGGCTGTTAAAATGCAGTGCTCCTTTGAAAGTGTTTCATAAATCCTACAAGCAGCGCGCAAAGCTTCGCTTGTCTTGCAAGGTGGCGTTTGTTCGTGCGTTGCTTGCTGGTCGCTGTTGATAACGCCTGCTGCTTATTGTTATTGGAAAAGGCTGCTGAAAGCCCAGTATCATCATTGGCAAGGCAGAAGCGCGAGGAACCTGAACAGGACAAGAGTGCAAGTCAGCTGTGTTTCAGGAGGTAGCCTAGCAGTGTGCTTTTTGCTCTACAGAGAGAAGACGCAAGTCGAACCGTTCACTCAAGTTTTATTGTGACATGAGGAAAGTGTCGCTAGGCATGATTTCAACGTGCAGGTGAAACCGGGAAGGATTTTTTTTATTTCAGTCCCACTGCACAACTTCTAAAACAAAAACGAATAATTTGACTTGTTTATCGTGCGCAAGCGCTCAAATCTTTCGCGCCACTCTCAAACGTCACACTTTCTTATAAACTGTTAACTGCTTGGAGTGAAAAAATGTCCCGCAAAAAGGCGGGTAAGGGCAAAAACGCCAACACCAGCCCAACGACAGGCAGCCCCATCGGAAAACAGAACGGGAAAAGTGGGAAGTGCACCGCAGGGACCGGGAGCGTGGTGCAGGCGAACGGTGTGGTTGATCCGAGCAGACCCTCACTCAGCAACAGCAGCGAGTTTTATGACATCGCATTCAAGGTAAGTGCACCTGAGCATAGCCCTTAATTTGTAAACAATAACATTAGGTTACTTCATTATTTTATCTCAGCATATTGCTAGTTTGTTAGGCTGTTATGATTCAACAACATATATCATAACATATTAGTGGCATAATCATGACAGGTTTGATAGGCTACAGATGACCGGTTGATAGGCTACAGATGACCGGTTGATAGGCTACAGATAATAAATGTAATGTGTTTATTTTTTATTTTATTTTTTATTTATTTGTTATTTCACCTTTATTTAACCAGGTAAACCAGTTGAGAACAAGTTCTCATTTACAACTGCGACCTGGCCAAGATAAAGCAAAGCAGTGCGATAAAAACAACAACACAGAGTTACATATGGGGTAAAACAAAACAAAGTCAAAAATACAACAGAAATAAAGATATATACAGTGTGTGCAAATGTAGCAAGTTACGGAGGTAAGGCAATAAATAGGCTATAGTGCAAAATAATTACAATTAGTATTAACACTGGAATGATAGATGTGCAAGAGATGATGTGCAAATAGAGATACTGGCGTACAAATGAGCAAAATAAATAACAATATAGGGATGAGGTAGTTGGGCGGGCTAATTTCAGATGGGCTGTGTACAGGTGCAGTGATCGGTAAGGTGCTCTGACAACTGATGCTTAAAGTTAGTGAGGGAGATAAGTGTCTCCAGCTTCAGAGATTTTTGCAATTTGTTCCAGTCATTGGCAGCAGAGAACTGGAAGGAATGGCGGCCAAAGGAGGTGTTGGCTTTGGGGATGACCAGTGAGATATACCTGCTGGAGCGCAGACTACGGGTGGGTGTTGCTATGGTGACCAATGAGCTAAGATAAGGCGGGGATTTGCCTAGCAGTGATTTATAGATGGCCTGGAGCCAGTGGGTTTGGCGATTAATATGTAGTGAGGACCAGCCAACAAGAGCGTACAGGTCACAGTGGTGGGTAGTATATGGGGCTTTGGAGACAAAACGGATGGCACTGTGATAGACTACATCCAATTTGCTGAGTAGAGTGTTGGAGGCTATTTTGTAAATGACATCGCCGAAGTCAAGGATCGGTAGGATAGTCAGTTTTACGAGGGCATGTTTGGCAGCATGAGTGAAGGAGGCTTTGTTGCGAAATAGGAAACCGATTCTAGATTTAACTTTGGATTGGAGATTCTTAATGTGAGTCTGGAAGGAGAGTTTACAGTCTAACCAGACACCTAGATATTTGTAGTTGTCCACATACTCTAGGTCAGACCCGTCGAGAGTAGTGATTCTAGTCGGGTGGGCGGGTGCAAGCAGCGTTCGGTTGAAGAGCATGCATTTAGTTTTACTAGTGTTTAAGAGCAGTTGGAGGCTACTGAAGGAGTGTTGTATGGCATTGAAGCTCGTTTGGAGGTTTGTTAACACAGTGTCCAATGAAGGGCCAGATGTATACAAAATGGTGTCGTCTTCATGTGTGAATGCACATCAAGCAAGTAGGCCTAGACCTAGGTTAGCCTACATGTTTGAAAGGACTAATGGGTTGTAAATGTTATGTTGTGTATAACATTAATCACCACAGTGACCTTTTCCTGTTCACTTTGTCAAGCCTGGGGTGTTTTACAAGACTACAAAACACTCATTCATCAAACCCAGCTAATCCCTCTGCCACAGCTGTGTCACTAAAGACAATCGATAGCACCTCAGTAACCAATGAAGGTCACATGGGACCAAGAGCCAACAAATCTCAGAATTTATTCTCTAATTGGCAGTTTTCTGTGTACTAGTGTAGCCATATAGTCTTAAGGCTAATCAACAGGTTGTGATGGGTATGAATTCATCCTGTCACTGCTTCAAAGTGCGCTCTCTCTCTCAATTCAATTTCAATTCAATTTAAGGGCTTTATTGGCATGGGAAACGTATGTTAACATTGCCAAAGCAAGTGAAGTAGATAGTAAACCAAAATGAAATAAACAATAAATATTAACAGTAAACATTACACTCAGAAGTTCCAAAAGAATAAAGACATTTCAAATGTCATTTTGTATATATACAGTGTTGTCACAATGTGCAAATAGTTAAAGTACAAATGGGAAAATAAATAAACATATGGGTTGTATTTACAATGGTGTTTGTTCTTCACTGGTTGCCCTTTTCTTGTGGCAACAGGTCACAAATCTTGCTGCTGTGATGGCACACTGTGGTTTTTCACCCAGCAGATAAGGGAGTTTAACAAAATTGGGTTTGTTTTCGAATTCTTTGTGGATCTCTGTAATCTAAGGGAAATATGTCTCTAATATGGTGTGCTCTAGGGCAACGGTGTCTAGATGGAACTTGTATTTGTGGTCCTGGCAACTGGACCTTTTTTGGAACACCATTATTTTTGTCTTACTAAGATTTACTGTCAGGGCCCATGTCTGTCTCTCTGTTTCTCTCTCCTCTCATAATTTTCCTCTCCTCCCCCCTCTCTCCATCTCCCTCTCTCTCTATCTCTCTGTCTCTCTCCCTTTCTGTGCCATACCTAAATGTGCAGCCAAACTCTCTTACCCCGGCTCTCCTTCTGGTGATGTGCCCGTCTGTCTTTGAAGTGACTGTTTGATGTGATGACTGGTTGCTTGTTTTCTGTTTTTCTCTTATCTCTGAGTATTGGAAATATTGTATTCCCCGCTGAGTGTCATTTCTCTACTACATTTACCTCTGAATGTAGCATATCTTTTCCCATACAAATATGTCTTTTAGGAAGAGCCAATTGATTAAACAAAAGGAAGTGGTGGTTGTTAGGCTGAACCAACTATTTAAACAAAGGGAAGTGGTGGTTGTTAGGCTGAACCAACTATTTAAACAAAGGGAAGTGGTGGTTGTTAGGCTGAACCAACTATTTAAACAAAGGGAAGTGGTGGTTGTTAGGCTGAACCAACTATTTAAACAAAGGGAAGTGGTGGTTGTTAGGCTGAACCAACTATTTAAACAAAGGGAAGTGGTGGTTGTAAGGATGAACCAACATGGTTTTTAAAGAACAGGTTGTGGTGTTTTGATGAGAGAGAGAGTTTAACTGATTGATTGACAGGTTTCTTCCCAATCACCATCCTGTTGATGAGTCACTGTTAGTTAGGCTGTCTGAATGGTAGCCTATTTCTCTGATACACTCCTGTTGCTCCAATACGAGTGAGGATATACTGAACAAAAATATAAACGTAACATGTAATGTGTTGGTCCCATGTTTCATGAGCTGAAATATAAGATCCCTGAAATTTTCCATATGCACAAAAAGCTTATTTATCTCAAATGTTGTTAACACATTTATTTACATCCCTTTTAGTGAGCATTTCGCCTTTGCCAAGATAATCCATCCACCTGACTGTTGTGGCATATCAATAAACTGATTAAACAGCATGATCATTACACAATGCCACAGATATCTCACGTTTTGAGGGAGTGCGCAATTGGCATGCCGACTGCAGGAATGTCCATCAGAGCTTTTGCCAGAGAATTGAATGTTCATTTCTATACCATAAGCCACCTCCGTTTTAGAGAATTTGGCAGTACGTCCAACCGGCCTCACAACCGCAAACTCTGTGTGTGTGGGCGGGTGGTTTGCTGATGTCAATGTTGTGAACAGAGTGCCCCGTGGTGGCAGTGGGGTTATGGTATGGGCAGGCATAAGCTACAGACAACAAGCACAATTGCATTTTATCAATGGCAATTTGAATGCACAGAGATACCGTGACGAGATCCTGAGGCCCATTGTTGTACCATTCATCTGCCGCCATCACCTCATGTTTCAGCTTGATAATGCATGGCCATATGTCAGAAGGATCTGTACACTATTCCTGGAAGCTGAAAATGTCCCAGTTCTTCCATGGCCTGCATACTCACCAGACATGTCACCTAGTGAGCATGTTTGGGATGCTCTGGATTGACGTGTACGACAGCATGTTCCAGTTCCCGCCAATATCCAGCAACTTCGCACAGCCATTGAAGAGGAGTGGTACGACATTCCACAGGCCACAATCAACAGCCTGATCAATTCTATGCGAAGGAGATGTCTCGCTACATGAGGCAAATGGATGTCAAACCAGATACTGACTGGTTTTCTGATCCACGCCCCTACCTTTTTGTAAGGTATGTGACCAACAGATACATATCTGTATTCTCAGTCATGTGAAATCCATAGATTAGGGCCTAATTAATTTATTTCAATTGACTGATTTCCTTATATTAACTGTAACTCAGTCAAAGCTTTGAAATTGTTCCATGTTGCATTTATATTTTGTTAAGTTTTGAGGGAACGTGCAGTTGGCATGCTGACTGCAGGAATGTCCAACGGGCCTCACAACCGCAAAACCCTTTATTGTTTTTGTCATTTAGAAATGTATCAACCCTTCCTTTTTTCGCATGGAGGAAATTGAAAAGGATAGGCCTAGAGCAACAACCCAACCCCTGGAGAGACTTGCAGATTTAGAAAATGCGGAGGCTGTCATTCAATTTGGCATCCTCAAGACCATTACCCAGAAATACTGGCATAGTGTAGCTCATTTGTAGCATTTCATACATTGCTCACCTCAGTTGAGCTCACAAGCATTATACCAACTTTAGGATGTTCGGGTGTTAAATACATAATTCAAGCCCAAAACAAAGAGAGCCTTAAAGGATCACTTCACTTAAAAACTCTATTTTGTAAATTTTTCCACTCTTAATACAATCCCAAAACAATGTGCATGTCACAAGATGGTGCACTTTCAGTACAGAGCAAAAACTGTGATGATGATGATGAGTTCAGTTTGAGTGGAATATCAGTTGAAACAATGGCTAATACCAGTGGGGGGGAAAAAACTCCTAACACCAATGTTCTTCCTTCAAATCACTGACTCAAACATGACTGTTCAGAGAGAAGTTCAGTTCACTATGTGCTGATGAAAACCTGGCCCCCGAGTGAGATGTAGCCTGCACCCTACAAAATTTGCGGAGCGCCATTGGATTCACTGTTGTATTTCAGCATATGAGGAGCGTGCAGGGGCTGGCGGCCGGGGTGAACCTGGTTTATTACAGCTGATATGTCAAATGTAATGGCGCCGGAGGGGATGGCTGCCGTTTTATGGACTCTTAACCAACCGTGCTATTTTGTGTTTCTTCGCATTGTTTGTAACTTATTTTGTACATAATGTTGCTGCTGCCGTCTCTTATGACCGAAAAGAGCTTCTGGACATCAGAACAGCGATTACTGACCTTGAACTGGACTAATAATTTTTCTTTAATGAGTTGGACGAGAGGGATTTGGTCCAGACACCCGACAGGGCCCTCATCCCCTTCATTCGCAGTAGAAAGAAAAGGAGAGATCGCGGAAGGAGATCGGTGTGCCTGGTAAGGAGCCGGCGATGAGTGGCTAATCTGTCTTTGCCATCGATACTATTGGCCAATTTACAATCGCTTGATAATAAAGTGGATGAACTACAAGCACGTAATCCTACCAACGGGACATTAAAAACGGTATTATCTTATGTTTCACCGAGTCGTGGCTGAACGAAGACATGAATAACATACAGCTGGCGGGTTATACACTGTATCGGCAGGATAGAACAGCAGCCTCTGGTAAGTAAAGGGGTGGCGGTCTATGTATATTTGTAAACAACAGCTGGTGCACGATATCTAAGGAAGTCTCTAACCCTCAAGGTTTTGCTCGCCTGAGGTAGAGTATCTCATGATAAGCTGTAGACCATCTATATTCTTCGTAGCTGTCTATTTACCACCTCAAACCGATGCTGGCACTAAGACCGCACTCCATGAACTGTATACAGCCATAAGCAAACAGGGAAACGCTCATCCAGAGGTGGCGCTCCTAGTGGCCAGGGCCTTTAATGCAGGGAAATTTAAATCCATTTTACCTCATTTCTACCAGCATGTTAAATGTACAACCAGAGGGGAAAAAAACTCTAGACCACCTTTACTCCACACACAGAGATGCGTACAAAGCTCTCCCTCACCCTCCATTTGGCAAATCTGACCATAATTCCTGCTTACAAGCAAAAACTAAAGCAGGAAGCACCAGTGACTCGGTCAATAAAAAAAGTGGTCAGATGAAGCAGATGCTAAGCTACAGATCTGTTTTGCTAGCACAGACTGGAATATGTTCCGGGATTCTTCTGATGGCATTGATGAGTACACCACATCAGTCACTGGCTTCATCAATAAGTGCATCGATGACGTCGTCCCCACAGTGACTGTATGTACATACCCAAACCAGAAGCCATGGATTACAGGCAACGTCCGCACTGAGCTAAAAGGTAGAGCTGCCGCTTTCAAGGAGCGGTACTCTAACCCGGAAGCTTATAAGCAATCCCGCTATGCCCTCTGACGACCCATCAAACAGGCAAAGCTTCAATACAGGACTAAGATCGAATCGTACTACACCGGCTCCGACGCTCGTCGGATGTGGCAAGGCTAGCAAACTATTAGACTACAAAGGGAAGCATAGCCGCGAGCTGCCCAGTGACACGAGCATACCAGACAAGCTAAATTACTTATATTCTCGCTTCGAGGCAAGTAACACTGAAACATGCATGAGAGCATCAGCTGTTCTGGACGACTGTGTGATCACGCTCTTCGTAGCCGATGTGAGTAAGACTTTTAAGCAGGTCAACATTCACAAGGATTACCAGGACGTGTTCTCTGAGCATGCGCTGACCAACTGGCAAGTGTCTTCACTGACATTTTCAACCTCTCCCTGTCTGAGTCTGTAATACCAACATGTTGCAAGCAGACCACCATAGTCCCTGTGCCCAAGAACACTAAGGTAACCTGCCTAAATGACTACCGACCCGTAGCACTCACGTCTGTAGCCATGAAGTGCTTTGAAAGGCTGGTCATGGCTCACATTAACACCATTATTCCAGAAACCCTAGACCCACTCCAATTTGCATACCGCCCCAACAGATCCACAGATGATGCAATCTCTATTGCACTCCACACTGCCCTTTCCCACCTGGACAAAAGGAACCCCTATGTAAGAATGCTATTCATTGACTACAGCTCAGCGTTCAACACCATAGTGCCCTCAAAGCTCATCACTAAGCTAAAGACCCTGGGACTAAACACCTCCCTCTGCAACTGGATCCTGGACTTCCTGACGGGCCGCCCCCAGGTGGTAAGGGTAGGTAACAACACATCTGCCATGCTGATCCTCAACACGGGGGCCCCTCAGGGGTGCGTGCTCAGTCCCCTCCTGTACTCCCTGTTCACCCATGACTGCATGGCCAGGCACGACTCCAACACAATCATTAAGTTTGCCGACGACACAACAGGGGTAGGCCTGATCAACGACGAGACAGCCTATAGGGAGGAGGTCAGAGACCTGGCCTCTCCCTCAACGTGATCAAGACAAAGGAGATGATTGTGGACTACAGGAAAAAGAAAAGGACCGAGCACGCCCCCATTCTCATCGACCGGGCTGTAGTGGAGCAGGTTGAGAGCTTCAAGTTCCTTGGTGTCCACATCACCAACAAACTAACATGGTCCAAGCTCACCAAGACAGTCGTGAAGAGGGAATGACAAAACGTATTCCTCCCAAGGAGGCTGAAAATATTTGGCATGGATCCTCAGATCCTCAAAAGGTTCTACAGCTGCACCATCGAGAGCATCCTGACTGGTTGCATCACTGCCTGGGTATGGCAACTGCTCGGCCTCCGACCGCAAGGCACTACAGAGGGTAGTGCGTACGGCCCAGTACATCACTGGGGCCAAGCTTCCTGCCATCCAGGACCTCTATACCAGGTGGTGTCAGAGGAAGGCCCTAAAAATTGTCAAAGACTCCATCCACCCTAGTCATAGACTGTTCTCTCTGCTACCGCACGGCAAGCGGTACCTGGGCGCCAAGTCTAGGTCCAAGAGGCTTCTAAACAGCTTCTACCCCCAATCCATAAGATTCCTGAACATCTGAAGCCCCCCCCCCCCCCTGTTTATTATCTATGCGTAGTCACTTTAATAACTCTACCTACATATACATATTACCTCAATTATCTCGACTAACCGGTGCCCCCGCACATTGACTCGGTACCGGTACCCCCTGTATATATCCTCGCTATTGTTATTTTTACTGCTTCACTTTAATTATTTGGTACTTTTATTTAGTATTTTATATTGTGTGTGTGTGTGTGTGTATATTTATTTTTTTGGTATTCTTTCTTAACTGCATTGTTGGTTAAGGGCTTGTAAGTAAGCATTTCACTGTTCTATTCGGCGCATGTGACAAATAAAATTTGATTTGATATGGCACTCACCGTACACTCTGTGGAGCAGCAGATAGTCTGGGAGATGATTTAACAGAGGAAAAACAGGGTACTTCACTTCCTGCTCTATTCACTCTGCCTGGGTCTGTTAAAATACTGCTGTTTAAGAGGGAGACAGAGTAAAATACAGTGGATAGGATAGGAGAGAAGAGAGGATGAAGGAACAGAGGAGGAGATGAGGGGGGAGGAGAGAAGAGGGGTAGATGAGGATGTGGGAACATGAGAGGGGAGGAGAGAAGAGGGGTAGATAAGGATAAGAGAGGATGTGGGAACAGGAGAGAAGATGAGAGGAATGAAGATGCCGCTGAGATTTTATCAACCTGACCTGACCTGGCTGGATCTCTACTGCATCTCTCCCTCATCATCCCTCCCTCCATCACCCCTCCATCTCTCCCTCCATCATCCTCCCCTCCTGGGATGACATGATAATCCTTCAGACTGAGGCCCCGGGCCCCTGTGGTCCTCCAGCTAACCTGATAACACTAACCACATCAACCCTATAACGTCATCAGGCGCCGGAAAGAGAGTAATGTGTGCAGCAGGACCCTCGCGCATGCAGACACACACAGACACAGGCACAGAATTCAGCATTGCTATCTGGCCAAAATTAAGAGGACAACCTAATGTCCAGATGCCCAGTCACGCTCTCATCCCTACTGGCCAGATACCAAGATGTCGAGACAGAGCTCTTTAATCCAGTTATGATAATCAAGGTTTTAATGAGAATCTGATAGTAATTCTAAACAAAACAAATGACCAGATGTGCAATAATGTCTAGGTGACTTCCTTATGGCCACTTGTGTTCCTAATGTCTAGCTGTGTTATTGTGTGACTTTGGGTCTGTCTCTTAAGTGAATAGAGTTATAATGGTTGTCTGGTTAGAGGTCTGATATCTCCTGTAGTGGACATAGCCATTGTGTACAGCAGTGATTCTTAACCTGGAGTACCCCATGGGGTACCTGTCCTATCCACAGGGGGTACTCAGTTGCAGATGAGGGGGGTACTTCAGGCAGAGTAAAATGTGATTGGAGTAAACAAAAAATGTTTTTGAGAACCACTGGTGTACAGGAGTCTGAGGATAGAAACATGGCTGGAACAACATGTCTAGAACAATGTGTCTGGAGAAACATGTCTGGAACAACGTGGCTGGAACAATCCAATATGTTGGGACCAGGGACGGTATGAGGGAGGAGAGTGTGGGGGTTGTGTTGAAAGATTATTGGACTGTTTTGTCTCTCTGGGGATGTGCGCTGGAACCTGTCATGTTCAGTTTGTCCCTTTACATTGAGACAAAGGGAATGTTCACTCACTGTTTGACCTTCCTTTGTGCAGCTTCCATCATTATTTTGGGATGTGTGTAAAAAAAAATTAAAAAAAAGAAACTTCATTCAGTTTGTCCCTCTTGCTGTGCTGTAGGTGATGCTGGTGGGAGACTCCGGGGTGGGGAAGACCTGTCTGTTGGTGCGCTTCAAAGACGGAGCCTTCCTGGCAGGAAGCTTCATCTCTACTGTGGGTATCGACTTCAGGGTGAGTGGGGATGGATAATACATGGACAAACACACACGAGTACACACACACACACACACACACACACACACACACACACACACGTTTTCTATGAAAAGAGTAAGATTCAATCGATGTCCCTCATACCTCATATTTGTACTTAAAATGGGGCCATTCCTGGCTGAACTTTTAATAGATTTTTTTCCAGAACAGATATTTTCCTGTGTCTTTAAGCCCTCCGGCTGGAAGTGTTTCCTCTGTGGATACCAGTCTCTCTAGAAGACACATCGATTCTTAAATTAGTTTGACTTGCTTTCATTTAGGAACCTTCCCCTGCTGACGGGCATCTCCTCTCCTGCGCCAGATTCATGGCACCCCATGGGCAGAGAGAAATGCATCTAGGAATGAGTCTGGGTTCTGGAATTTAATCTCCAATGTGTCTGGGGGGGCGGGGGGGGGGGTTGTGTATCAGTGGAGGCTGCTGAGGGGAGGATGGCTCACAATAACGGCCGGAACGGAGCAAATGGAAAGGCATTAAACACATGGAAACCATGTGTTTGAAGTATTTGATACCATTCCACCTATTCCGCTCCAGCCATTACCACGAGCCCGTCCTCCCCAATTAAGGTGCCACCAACCTCCTGTGGTGTGTGTGTGCGTATGTGTGCCTGCATTTGCATTTGCGCGTGTGTGTGGTTGGTTTCTCCTTCATTGTATTTATGTATTGCTTCTTGACATCATACTACTGCGCTGCTTTTGTTCATCTTGTTTCTGTTTAACTGCAGACTCTATAGACTCAAGGCACGTGCAAGCTAAAGCCTTTCCTTTAGAGTAGTCACCCTGATGCCCTAGCGTTATCTGGCAAGCCACAGCAGCTCTGAACTCATAACAAAAAGGCTTACTGCTCATGTCATATTGATTAATTGATTATTTAATTGTGTTGTGGCGCTGCGCTGTGAGACCTGAATGATTATACACTGCTCAAAAAAACACTTAAACAACACATCCTACATCTGAATGAATGAAATCATCTTATTAAATACTTTTTTTTTACATAGTTGAATGTGCTGACAACAAAATCACACACAAATTATCAATGGAAATCAAATTTATCAACCCATGGAGGTCTGGATTTGGAGTCACCCTCAAAATTAAAGTGGAAAACCACACTACAGGCTGATCCAACTTTGATGTAATGTCCTTAAAACAAGTCAAAATGAGGCTCAGTAGTGTGTGTGGCCTCCACGTGCCTGTATGACCTCCCTACAACGTCTGGGCATGCTCCTGATGTGGTGGCGGATGGTCTCCTGAGGGATCTCCTCCCAGACCTGGACTAAAGCATCCGCCAACTCCTGGACAGTCTGTGGTGCAACGTGGCGTTGGTGGATGGAGCGAGACATGATGTCCCAGATGTGCTCAATTGGATTCAGGTCTGGGGAACGGGCGGTCCATAGCATCAATGCCTTCCTCTTGCAGGAACTGCTGACACACTCCAGCCACATGAGGTCTAGCATTGTCTTGCATTAGGAGGAACCCAGGGCCAACCGCACCAGCATATGGTTTCACAAGGGGTCTGAGGATCTCATCTCGGTACCTAATGGCAGTCAGGCTACCTCTGGCGAGCACATGGAGGGCTGTGCGGCCCCCCAAATAAATCCCACCCCACACCATGACTGACCCACCGCCAAACCGGTCATGCTGGAGGATGTTGCAGGCAGCAGAACGTTCTCCACGGCGTCTCCAGACTCTGTCACGTCTGTCACATGTGCTCAGTGTGAACCTGCGTTCATCTGTGAAGAGCACAGGGCGCCATTGGCGAATTTGCCAATCTTGGTGTTCTCTGGCAAATGCCAAACGTCCTGCACGGTGTTGGGCTGTAAGCACAACCCCCACCTGGGGACGTCGGGCCCTCATACCACCCTCATGGAGTCTGTTTCTGACCATTTGAGCAGACACATGCACATTTGTGGCCTGCTGGAGGTCATTGTGCAGGGCTCTGGCAGTGCTCCTCCTGCTCCTCCTTGCACAAAGGCGGAGGTAGCGGTCCTGGGGTTGTTGCCCTCCTACGGCCTCCTCCACGTCTCCTGATGTACTGGCCTGTCTCCTGGTAGCGCCTCCATGCTCTGGACACTACGCTGACAGACACAGCAAACCTTCTTGCCACAGCTCGCATTGATGTGCCATCCTGGATGAGCTGCACTACCTGAGCCACTTGTGTGGGTTGTAGACTCCGTATCATGCTACCACTAGAGTGAAAGCACCACCAGCATTCAAAAGTGACCAAAACATCAGCCAGGAAGCATAGGAACTGAGAAGTGGTCTGTGGTCACCACCTGCAGAACCACTTCTTTATTGGGGGTGTCTTGCTAATTGCCTATAATTTCCACCTGTTGTCTATTCCATTTGCACAACACCATGTGAAATGTATTGTCAATCAGTGTTGCTTCCTAAGTGGACAGTTTGATTTCACAGAAGTGTGATTGACTTGGAGTTACATTGTGTTGTTTAAGTGTTCCCTTTTAATTTTTTTGAGCAGTGTATTTTCACCCTCAAGGTTCTCCCTGGCTCTCCTCTGAATGGCCTCTTGTTAAACCGTTCCTCTACAGGATCTCATCCAGCTTGTAAAACCTTTGAGTTACACCATAGAAATACAATTCCTCTAGAATGGACAATTCCATTTAATCCTATTAAATAAATTATATTTCAATGCCATTGTGTTTCTAATTATTGCCCTCAAGGTTCTCCCTGGCTCCCCTCTGCTTGGCCTCTTGTTACAGTACAACAGTTCCTCTAGAGCAGGGATCATCTACTAGATTCAGCCGCATACTTTTTTTTTTTTTTTTCATGAGCGGATGGTCGGGGGGCCGGAACATAATTACAAATAATTTGTAGACTGCAAATTGACCGCAAGAAGCCCAAACAGATATTATACAGTGGGGGAAAAAAGTATTTAGTCAGCCACCAATTGTGCAAGTTCTCCCACTTAAAAAGATGAGAGAGGCCTGTAATTTTCATCATAGGTACACGTCAACTATGACAGACAAATTGAGGAAAAAAAATCCAGAAAATCACATTGTAGGATTTTTTATGAATTTATTTGCAAATTATGGTGGAAAATAAGTATTTGGTCAATAACAAAAGTTTCTCAATACTTTGTTATATACCCTTTGTTGGCAATGACACAGGTCAAACGTTTTCTGTAAATCTTCACAAGGTTTTCACACACTGTTGCTGGTATTTTGGCCCATTTCTCCATGCAGATCTCCTCTAGAGCAGTGATGTTTTGGGGCTGTCGCTGGGCAACACGGACTTTCAACTCCCTCCAAAGATTGTCTATGGGGTTGAGATCTGGAGACTGGCTAGGCCACTCCAGAAACCTTGAAATGCTTCTTACGAAGCCACTCCTTCGTTGCCCGGGCGGTGTGTTTGGGATGATTGTCATGCTGAAAGACCCAGCCACGTTTCATCTTCAATGCCCTTGCTGATGGAAGGAGGTTTTCACTCAAAATCTCACGATACATGGCCCCATTCATTCTTTCCTTTACACGGATCAGTCGTCCTGGTCCCTTTGCAGAAAAACAGCCCCAAAGTATGATGTTTCCACCCCCATGCTTCACAGTAGGTATGGTGTTCTTTGGATGCAACTCAGCATTCTTTGTCCTCCAAACACGACGAGTTGAGTTTTTACCAAAAAGTCCTTTTTGGTTTCATCTGACCATATGACATTCTCCCAATCCTCTTCTGGATCATCCAAATGCACTCTAGCAAACTTCAGACGGGCCTGGACATGTACTGGCTTAAGCAGGGGGACACGTCTGGCACTGCAGGATTTGAGTCCCTGGCGGCGTAGTGTGTTACTGATGGTAGGCTTTGTTACTTTGGTCCCAGCTCTCTGCAAGTCATTCACTAGGTCCCCCCGTGTGGTTCTGGGATTTTTGCTCACCGTTCTTGTGATCATTTTGAGCCCACGGGGTGAGATCTTGCGTGGAGCCCCAGATCGAGGGAGATTATCAGTGGTCTTGTATGTCTTCCATTTCCTAATAATTGCTCCCACAGTTGATTTCTTCAAACCAAGCTGCTTACCTATTGCAGATTCAGTCTTCCCAGCCTGGTGCAGGTCTACAATTTTGTTTCTGGTGTCCTTTGACAGCTCTTTGGTCTTGGCCATAGTGGAGTTTGGAGTGTGACTGTTTGAGGTTGTGGACAGGTGTCTTTTATACTGATAACAAGTTCAAACAGGTGCCATTAATACAGGTAACGAGTGGAGGACAGAGGAGCCTCTTAAAGAAGAAGTTACAGGTCTGTGAGAGCCAGAAATCTTGCTTGTTTGTAGGTGACCAAATACTTATTTTCCACCATAATTTGCAAATTAATTAATTAAAAATCCTACAATGTGATTTTCTGGAAAAAAAATTCTCAATTTGTCTGTCATAGTTGACGTGTACCTATGATGAAAATTACAGGCCTCTCTCTTCTTTTTAAGTGGGAGAACTTGCACAATTGGTGGCTGACTAAATACTTTTTTCCCCCACTGTATTTGACTAAAACATAATCATTTCAAACCTTATATACGATCATGTCATCTCCCTCTATTACACCTGGGAATACTTGGGAACATATTTCTTAAATTTAAATCACTTGGTGCTTATTTCCTTGTGTTTTTTACAGTCTGTTATGCCCACCAGGAACCTGCTCTACATGATCTCATCCAGCCTGTAAAACCTTTTGATTCACACCATAGAAATAGAATGAGTGGAATTGTTATTCAAGTAATTATATTTCTATGTTTCACTATTTCTCATAGAATGGGCACAGTTGTGGCTTTTGTTCATTCTCATACTGCATGAACCTTGATATAGAAAACATAGAACATTCATTTCTCTACTGGGCCTCAGAAAGGTAGTTTTTTAGTCAAGCCCATTGTGATTCTATTAGGTGGTGGAGAACCAGGCAATAGGATTTGATGCTATTTCCACTTCAAAGTGAAGGAACAATGCTCTGTGTGTTTTCTTCCCTCTTGTTAGATTTTTTGTCATGTT